AACGGAGAAGCGCCCCGAGAACGACCCGGAGAAGAGCCCGTGGGTGCGGAAGAGCGCACAAGGCTATCTCTTACTTGGGCAAGCGTTGGGGAGCAGTCAGATCCGTCACATCAAGCCATTCCAGCGTGAACCAGAGAAAGGACCAAAGGCATGGGCTGCTCTCAAGGGTGTACATGCTCCTGCAACAGCGGCGGTAGCGGTGGTGTTGGAACGGCAAATGGCGGCACTACGAATTGAAGAAAACGAAGCGGTTGAAGAAGGGGTGCAGAAATTCTTCGACTTGTTGACGCGGCTTGAGGGAGCTGATTTGAACTACAGTGAGCTCCAAAAGAAGACCAAGTTGCTGGCCTTACTCCCAGAGTCATGGTCCTCGCTCATCATCAACCTTAATCGCGACTTGCCCCGCCTCTCGCTTGAAGACGTGAAGCGAGCTATCCTTCAAGAGGATTTCCGCCGCCGTGAGTTGGCGAGTGCGGATGGCGCTGGGGCAGCGAGCATCGGCCGTGGATATGGTCGAGGAAGAGGCAGAGGACGAGGGGGAGGAAGGTTTGGTGGCAGCAACTTCGGCGGAGGCCGCAGGAGTGGCGGTTACGGCAGCGACGACAAGAGCTACGGACGCGGTCGCGGCCGATTCGACGGCGAGTGTCACTATTGCCACAAGAGCGGACACATGTGGCGCGACTGCTACAAACTCCCTGATGGTTGGACCCCTGCTCAAGGCCAAGAGGGTAGAGGAGCAGGAGGAGGGAGAGGACGAGGCCGTGGAGGCCGTGGCGGTCGCGGTGGCGGAGCTGCAAACATGAAGAGCGGAGACAACGACAAGGACCCGAGCGAAGATCGATACCCGGGTCTATTCTACTTCGTGTCGACGCAAGTACCGGCTGGTCCAGAGAAGGATGAAGGCTTTGAGGAGCCAGCAGCTGTGGGGAAGGTGACCCTACACCCCCTGGACTATTGGGTGATTGATAGTGGCGCTACCTATAGCATGACACCTCGCCCGGACTTGCTCACCGAACTCGAGCCGTCACCGGTGAAGCATGTCACATCGGCTTTGGGGCAGCGAGCAGAGGTGAAAGGCATGGGCAAGGCCATGTTCAAGGGTGCTGATGGGAAGATGGTGGGCCTCAAGAACGTGCTTTGGGTGCCCAGCCTTGCTGCAAACCTGATTTCCGTGCGGCGGTTGGCAAAGGCCGGCATGGACACGAACTCGAAGGGAGCCAAGACCTACACCGCAAGGCTTGGCGATCGAATTCTTTGGGACCTTCATGAGGACAGGGATGTCTACAACGAGATGTGGCAGATCCCAGTGGTCCCTATGCCTAAGGAGAGGCAAGTGGCAGCAAGCATCAGCACCAAGGATGGAGCGGTCGGTAGCGACGATGGCGCGAACGGTCGCGCTAAGGAGAATGAGCTCAAGAAGAGCAAACCTGGAGGGACCAGCAAGTTCAGTGAACCTAAGGAGAGTGGTGCAGCAACCAAGGAGCAGCAAAAGGGTGAGGAGAACCCAGAGGCAGCAGCGGAGGAGGACTACGGAGAGAGTATGTGGGGCGCTATTGCGAGCGCGGCATTCTCCAGTCCAACTTCAGCTACGGGGGAGTGTGATTGGCTCACCTTGCATCGGCGCATGGGGCATGTGGCCCTGCCCATCTTGCAGCAGCTAGTGAAGAATGAGATGGTTGCTGGCATACGTGTGAAGGGGGAGCCCGATGAGGTGCTTGGCTGCCCGACGTGCATTCAAGCCAAGTTCACCCGGTTTCCGTTCCCTAGTTCGGAGGCAACGGCAAAGGCACCGCTTGATGAGGTGGTGATGGACGTGGTGGGCCCCCTGAAGCTTGGAGCTGCTGGAGCTGAGTATTTTCTCACCATTGTCGACGTCTATACCCGCATGACTTGGGTGTACGTGCTGGCCAAGAAGAGCGACGTGGCTGAAACGTTGAAGACGGATTGGTTCCCGATGGTGGAGCGGCAACAAGACCGTCTAGTCAAGTCAATCCGCACCGATCGAGGGGGAGAGTTCCTGAGCAAGGAGTTTGGGTTGTGGCTGAAGAAGAATGGTATTCGGCACTCCCTCACCATGCCATACTCCCCTGCAATGAACGGCATCGCCGAGCGAGCGAACCGCACAATCACGGAGGCGGCACGCGGGTTGCTCATTGAAGCCGGGCTACCCGACTATTTCTGGCCTGATGCGGTGCGGAGCGCGTGTGTGGCCAAGAACAGAGCCTTGACTCATGTGGGAGCAGACAAATGGGTGCCCTATGTGGAGTGGCTAGGAAGGAAGCCAAAGGTGGATATGCTTCGGGTGTTCGGGTGCATGTGCATGGCGCTCGTGCCTAAGCATCTTCGGCACAACAAGCTTGGTGCCAAGGCGGTGTGGGCCGTGCACTTGGGCATGGCTCAAAACAGCAAGGGATGGCTTCTTTGGGACCCATTCACCAAGAAGTTCTTGGTGAGCAGGGACTGCAAGTTCATGGAGAACTTCATGTACAAGGATTGGAAGGCGGAGAATGAGGCGAAGATAGGCGTGCGGTTTGGGGAGGTGAAGAGTTCCGGTTTGGAGCATGTGGAGCTGCCTTTGGAGCTGAGCAGCGGCAGCACAACCACAAGGCAATCCTCCCTTGTGAATGGGGGAGAGGAGGCCAATGATGCAGAGGAAGAAGAGGAGGAGGTGCAGCAAGTGAGCGAGCGTGCACCGTCACTCCCTTCCCGTACTACGAGTGCTCCACGGATTCGAGCCACACCGCAGCAACGCCAAGGCCTTCAATTCCCTGCAGCTGAGGAGGAAGGAAGGGGGAAGAGGAGAGTTCAACCCCCTAATAGGCTGACCTATGATGCGCCGGGAAAGCAGGGCAAGACAGCCCTGGCCGGAGCGGCAATGATGGTCGGAGACGACGAGGAGAGTGACTACGAGGAGTGTGCCTTCGCGTTCTTCTCTCCGGTGGAGATGCCGGGAGAACCAGCAACTCTCAAGGAGGCTTTGGAGAGTAGTGATGCTGAGGAGTGGAAGAAGGCCATGGAGAGTGAGCTGAAGAGCATCGAGGAGAATGACACGTTTGAATTGGTGGAGCTACCGGAGGGGCGTACGGCGATAACGTCCAAGTGGCTCTTCAAAATCAAGTCGGATGCCGACGGCAAGATCGAGCGCTACAAGTCTAGGCTTGTAGCCAAGGGGTACCAGCAGAAGGAGAAGGTGGACTTCAAGGAGCTGTTTGCCCCTGTGGTGAAGCCGACGACGCTGCGAAACCTATTCGCGGGAGCCGCCATCAAAGGATGGGTAGTAAAGCAAATGGACATCGTAACGGCATTCCTTAACGGCATCCTTGAGGAGGAGATTTTTATGGCGCAGCCAGAGGGGTTTGATGATGGTAGTGGCAGAGTGTGGAAGCTGAAGAAGGCCCTCTATGGGCTGAAGCAGGCCCCTAGGCAATGGTACATGAAGCTGCGCGAAGTGTTGGAGGGGATCGGCTTCACTCCCTCAACGGCCGATCACTCCTTGTTCATGCTTGGCGAGGGGGAGCAGAGGAGTTTCATGGTGGTTTATGTGGATGACATCCTCATTTTCTCACCCTCTTCTGACCTTGTGAAGGAGGTGATGCTGAAGCTTCAAGACAAGTTCAAGTGCAAGGCCCTTGGTGACGTGAGCTTCTACCTTGGGCTCCACATCGATCGAGATGTGGAGAAGCGGTGCATGCGGGTGCATCAACGAAAGTACCTGGAGGCATTGGCTGCCAACTTTGGGCAGAGTGAAGGCCATGTGGCTACACCCTTTCCCTCTGGGTTCAAGTGTGTGAAGGGACCAGAGGAGGAGAGCATTGGTGAAGAGGAGAGGCGCCGATTTCACTCGTTGGTGGGCAGCCTCATGTATGCGGCGGTAAACACCCGACCGGACGTCGCGTTTGCTACCGGGCAGCTGGCTAGGGTTGTGCAATGCCCTAATGAGGAGCAGGTAGCAGCTGGAATGAGGGTGGCCAAGTATCTTGGCCAAACACCGACCGTTGGGCTGCAATACTCGGCGGCGGCACAAAGGCGCCAAAAGGGCGCGGATGGTGTTGAACCCGGGCGTTTGTTCCTCACCGCCTACTCGGATGCTTCATATGCATCAGAACCAGAGGACATGACAAGTGTGGGAGGCTTCATATGCTGTGTTGGTGGAGGCCCAACTGCTTGGGAGAGCAAGAAGCAGGTTGACCAAGCTTTGAGCTCGGTGGAGTCCGAGTACATGGCACTCTTCCGTGCCGTACGGGAGATTGTGTGGCAGCGGCGTTTGTTGGCTGAATTGGGGGAGGAGCAGCAAGGACCTACCCCACTGTACTGTGACAGCCAGGGTGCCATTGCTCTTGCTAAGAACCCTGTGTTGCATGGACTCACGAAGCACATGAGGGTGAAGTGGCATTGGACGAGGAGCATGGTAACCGCGGGTGAAGTTGAGTTGCGCTACGTGAAGACCACGGGGCAGCCGGCTGACATGATGACCAAGAGGCTGGTGGAGCAGCAGCATTGGAAGTGTTGCAAGCTGGCTGGGATGGCTCTGAACTGAGAGAGCAACATATCCTAAGGCCAACAATCCGAGGGGGAGTTTGTTGGTGCAACCCTACGGTTTGCACTCGGCTTGTTGTCCGTGTGCGTGAATGTGTGTGTGTATGGAATGGTATGAGGGCATGGGATAATATATATTTCATGCTTATAATTGTGTGTGAATGTTGAGTCATGATGTCGAGTGTGTGTGTCGAGTCAATAGCGAGTTATCGCTAGACCCGTGTTACGCGGTCGTTTGTGTCTCGCGCGCGGTTTCTATTTTGTCGTGCGCGGTTTCTATTTTGTCCTGTGTCGAACGTTCGGCGTGTCGCAGGTGTGTGCAGCAAACCCATCAAGAACTCAAGGATGAGTTTGTGATGAAGAGCCCGAGCCTTGGTGTCAAGCCTCAAGTGATTCGAAGCTTGCCAAAAGGGTACACCTCAAGATATTGAAGATAGTTGCATTACTTTGTGTAGTGTAACATTTCACTTGGTGTAGGCCCTAGTGAAGGGTAGTTTCGAGACCCTTCGTGGTTGGGGACAGTGTGGCACTGTTCCACATCACTGTACCTCGGCTCTTGGGGTTTGTAGGAGCTGGGAGTCATTCCCAACTCGTAACTCTTCCTATCTTGTGTTCTAAGACTATAGTGGCTGCCATAATACCGTTCGTTCAAACCGACGCTGTGTCGTCAATTCTTTATCAAATCGTGCAATCTAAATTGATAATTGTAGACGACGTGAAGAAGCTCCAGATCCAATTTGAATCAAGTCATTTGCAGCTGTGAGTAGAACGCTATCAACGTTTGAAGCCGCTGTGCAGAAATCCGTCTGTGATCTCTATCTTTCGTTTTAGGCACATTCAAGCCTATTGTGACTATAACACGTACCACTCACGAAGCTGCTGGGGGGGCGGGGTCTCACGAGCGCGCTGCTGCTGCTGGCGCTGACCACCACCGAAGCCGCCCCGCTGCGCAGAGCCACCCCGACCAGCTCCACCTCCACCGCCGCCACCTCCGCCACCGCCGCCACCGCCACCGCCTCCGCTCCCACCGCCACCGCCACCGCCGCCGCCGCCTCCGCCTCCACCGCCGCCACCGAAGCGCCCACCCCAGCCACCACTCCCACCGCCACCCCCACTTCCTCCGCCGCCTCCACCGCCACCTCCACCACCCCCGCCAGCCCCTCCAGCGCCCTTGCCCCCCTTGCCCTTGCCGGTGCGGCGTCTCCCGCTAGGGGCAGACGCAGCGCCGACCGACTCGGTGCCAACTAAGTCGACGGCAGTAGCAGAGGCAATAGAGGGCAAAAGGGGGGAGGGGGAGCACCCCTCAAAGAAGGGGGCACGAGGGTCACCACGAGAGGCTCCTACAGCAACTATACTCTTCTCTGCTGCCAGGAGGCGCTCCTCGAGGAGGTCAACGGTGAGTGTGGTGGGGCAAACCGAGAGGAAGTGGTCCCTGACTGAGCGAAGGGAGTCAGGGAGCCGGGTGACTAGGTAGTAGAGGGTGATGTACATGGGGGGTGGGTTCTTGGCGCAGAACTCAGCAGGAAGCGCAGCGCGGTAGCGGGCGTCACTAGTGCGAAGGTGCGTAATGAGGTCAGCGACTGTGGGAAAGGCGGCTAGGTCAGGGAACAGGTACGGCAGCATGAGGCGGCTAAGAGCAACAGTGGCAGGGGAAGAGTAGCGTGCAATGACAGCGTCGTACAGAGTCTTAGCACTCTTGTACTGATTAAAGTGCGCGCGCTCAGAGGACGGCAAGTGACTGCGCACAGCAAGACGGGCAGCAGCATCGCGTGTGGCCCACTGGGAGCGAACAGTGCTGTCAGCATCGGCAGCAGGGGCAGTAGAGGCGCCAGACGTGAGATCGAATAGGGAGAGACCGTCTTTCCTATCGCACTGTAGGAAAAGCAGCAGATCATCGACCCAGACCTCAAAGTCAACAGCCCGACCCTCAGCATCAAAGACGAGGACGCTAGGGGTAGCCATGACAGCAGTGGCAGCAGTAGCAGCAGTGGCAGCAGGAGCAGCAGTGGCAGCAGTGGCAGCGCAGCGCGGCGATGCTCTTACCAGGGCAGAGGGCCGCAAGTGGTGGGGCAGGGCCGAGGCGCACCGGCAGGGACGGGCCGAGGCGCGCAGGTAGGGCCGAGGCGCGCCGGTAGGGGCGGGCCGAGGCGCGCCAGCAGGGACGGGCCGAGGCGCGCCAGCAGGGACGGGCCGAGGCGCGCCGGCAGGGTCGAGGCGCACCGGCGGCTGCAGTTGCTGCTGGTGGCGGCTGCGGTGGCTGCGGCTACTGCTGCCCCGGGAGTGAAGGCGGCGGCCGCTGTAGGGGCGGCGGCGGCTGCTGCTGCAGGGGCGGCGACGGGGGGGGTCGCGAAGGGCGGCTACGGGGCCGTGAAGGGCGGCGACGGGGCCTTGACAGGGCCGTGAGGGGCCGCAAAGGGCGGCGAGAGGCCGCGAAGGGCGGCGACAGGGCCGCGGAGGGCAGCGACGGGGCCGTGGAGGGGCCGCGAAGGGCGGCGACGGGACCGTGAGGGGGGCCGCGAGGGGCCACGAAGGGCGGCGCAAGGGGCCGTAAGGGGCCGCGAAGGGCGGTTCGAGGGGCCGTAAGGGGCCGCGAGGTGCCGTAAGGGGCCGCGAAGGGCCGTGAGAGGGGCCGCTAAGGGCGGCGCGAAGGGGCCGCGAGGGGCCGTGAGAGGGGCCGCGAGAGGGGGGGCCGCTAAGGGTGGCGCGAAGGGGCCGTGAGGGGCCGTGGGAGGGGCCGCTAAGGGCGGCGCGAAGGGGCCGCGAGGGGCCGTGAGAGGGGCCGCGAGGGGCCTTAAGAGGGCGCGACGGGCCGCTAAGGGCTAGGGACGCGACGGGAGGGAGGGCACACGGGGCGCGACTCGGGCAGGAGCGAATCGCGCTCCGGGCAGGAAAAAAAAATTTTTTCGTGGTGGGCCCTAGGAAGCGTTCCCACTAGGGAACCTGCTCTATACCATGTGAAGAAACGAGGAATGAAATGACTAAGGGAAAAGTTGGGTACAAGTGCAAACCCTAGAAATGTGTACCCCATATGTGCTACCCCACTATAGCCTACATCAGCTAAGTCATATATATCTGACAGCTGGAATCACGAGACACCTGGGTCCTAGTCGATCGTGCAGCAGTGAAGGGGAGGAGGGTGCTCAGCGGAAAATGGGTATTTCGCCTGAAAACCAACGCTGACGGCACTATCGAGCGTTTCAAGGCACGCTGGGTCGTACGCGGGTACGATCAGCGCCACGGCATCGACTTCGACCAAACCTTCGCTCCTGTCAGCCGCCACACCTCGGTCCGGATTCTACTCGCCATTGCCGCCGCGAAGCACCTACCACTGCGATAGATCGACGTGAAGAACGCGTTTTTATACGCGTTGGTGGATGCCACCATCTTTGTGGAGCAGCCGCACACCTACGGAGAGGGTGATCCCAGGGTCTGCCAACTGAAAAAGTCCCTCTACGGGATCAAGCAGGCGCCACGTCTCTGGCAGCAGCATCTGCACAAAATCCTCCTCGAAATCGGCTTCAAACAGCTCCCACACGACCCGGGAATGTATCGCCTTCACTTTAGCGGCGATTACATCCTCCTGACAGTCTACGTCGACGACCTGCTGTACACGGGGACCTGCAACAAACTCCTCGATCAGTTTCAGGAGAACCTGGCGCAGCGCGTGGACATCACCATCAACCTCGAAGTGAAGCAGTTTTTGGGGTTAAACATCACTTACGCGCCAGAAGCAATCCATCTGTCAGCCTCCAAATACGCAGAGCAGCTGGGGGAACGCTTCAACATCTCACCCGCACCACTCTCAACTCCCTACCGCAGCCCCAGCGCCAACTACAAACCGGACAACAAACCTCTGTCGCCCGCAGGACTCCAAATGTATCAACAGAAGTTGGGGTGCCTGCTATTTGCCTCTGTCACCTGCCGACCTGACCTCTCGTACATCGCCAGCCAACTGGCGCAGTATTCTCGCAAGCCAGTAGAAGAGAACCAGCTGGACTTGGAACGCGCCCTGCAGTACTTCATCTCCACTCCTGACATTGGGCTCTCCTACTCCACGCTGACGACGACCTCCTTCAACCTCAACGGCTACATGGACGCAGATCACACAGCTGATCCTGAAAATCGACGGTCCCGAACCGGCTTCGTTTTCCGCCTGGAACCAACTGGGCCGATCTCCTGGAACTCACAGAAGCAGGAGCTGGTTGCCCTGTCATCGGCCGAAGCAGAATACATCGCCGCGACAGCAGCAGTTCGCGAAGGGCTGTACCTGCAGGAGCTGCTGCAGGAAGCAAAAATTCCAACCTCGCCCACCTTTCGCCTCCACTGTGACAACCAGAGTGCCATCAGGATCGCGAACAAGCTAGGTTTCGTGAACCGCACGAAGCACATTGCGCTTCGGTACTTTTTCGTCAAAGACGAAATTGACCAAGGCAAAGTTGACCTCGCCTACTGCCCGACCACTGAGATGGCAGCAGACTTCCTCACCAAGCGCCTGCCACGTCAGCAGTATAAGCACTGCTCTGACCTCACCGGAGTAGTCAAGCGAGTCAGCTCCACCCGCGTCCAGGAATGAAGGGGAGTGTTACGATATAAAGTTTTATGAGTAAGGCATTCCTGTATGCTGCAGGAGCCGACTCTACCGAGTACGAAGTCGAGGAGTCAGAAGAGTCGAAGCGACGCAGCAACCGTCTGACCAAGACCGATGCAGGCAGAAACATTTGAAGTGGAAAGAGCGGGAACAGGTTCAAAACGGGTTCCCGCGCCGCACGGTTTGAATTTGCTGTAATAAGGGAATGTACCCCTTAGAGTACATGGCTAGTCTAGGTCTTTTCGTATTCCCTTGTACTCTTATATAAACTCGATGTATGCATGCTATTATCAACTCAGTCATTTACATTCACTCTGACCTGAGATTCAAATCTTCCGCTGCAACACTACTCTGCGATCAACCCTGAGCGATCCTTCGCTAAGTCCCACTTGGGATTGTAACACTAGCGAATCGAATCTGTGTCAGAGCACAATTATTTCGACCAATACCTAACAGCAAACTAAATCTGACATTACAGATTCGCCCGATCTCGATGGTGGGTGTATGGGAAAGAAAATTCGAAGAAACTTCGTCCCGATAAAGCAAGGGGTGGGGGATTACGCACGTGGGGGGTACTGCGATCAATCGGAAGGCGGGGTTATCAGTAGGAAATTTCTGAGAAACTTCGTCCTGATAACATCGCATTCAGGGTCCACATGCCGCGTACTCTGTATTGACAGGGTCCGTGAAAACACTACACTGAGAGTGTACACAAAATTTCAGGGTCCGCTAAAGCAATACTCTGAATGGATCAGGGACCAAAATGTGAAAAACCTGATTTCTCAGGGACCAGAAAGTGACAAGTCTGAAATCACCCTGAAATCAGGGTAATTACCCTGATAAAATCAGCCCTGGTTGGGATCCTTCCGCGTTTTGGGGATAAAAAGGAAATGCAGCAGGCGCTCTTCATTCGCGAGCACCGATGACCCACGATGCTCGCAACCCTCCCACGCCCTTGCTGGCTTAGTAATAGGCCCAGACGAGCGCAGCCACGTGACCCGGCGGAAGAAAAACGCTCGGACCGAGCGCTTCCAGCCCTAAAACGCGGAAGGATCCGCACATGTGCACGAAATACAGCGGGCGCTCTTCATTCGTGACCACCGACGACCGATGATGCTCGCCACCCTCCCACGGCCTTGCTGGCTCGGTAATAGGCCTAGACGAGCGCAGCCACGTGACACGGCGGAAGAAAAACGCTTGGCCCACCCGAATATGCAACAACGTTCAGGTCGTTCGATGCTTTTCCCTACGCCTATAGGGATGCTTCCTTAGAATTTGTCGGCAGACACAGGCGTCATTGCAGGCGCTGAACTTTTTTGTGCGCGCGAACCAAACCGAAAGTGCTCTGGTAGGTGTATCTGAGCATAAGCCACCCGAATATGCATCAACGTTTAAGTCGTTTGATGCTTTTCCCTATGCCTATAAGGATGCATGCGCTTCCTTAGCCTTTGTCGGCAGACGCAGCCGTCATCGCAAGCGCCGAACTTTACTGTGTACACGAACCAAGCCGAAAGTGCTATGGTAGGTGTATTTGACCATGAGCCACCCGAATATGCAACAACGTTCAGGTTGTTCGATGATTTTCCCTACGTCTATAGGGATGCACGCGCTTCCTTAGCATTTGTCGGCAGACACAGGCGTCATCGCAGGCGCCGAACTTTTCTGTGCGTGCGAACCAAGCCGAAAGTGCTCTGGTAGGTGTATTTGAGCATGGGCCACCCGAATATGCAACAACACTCAGGTCGTTCGATGCTTGTCCCTACGCCTATAGGGATGCACGCGCTTCCTAAGCATTTGTCGGCAGACACAGGCGTCATCGCAGGCGCCGAACTTTTCTGTGCGCGCGAACCAAGCCCAAAGTACTCTGGTAGGTGCATTTGAGCATGGGCCACTCGATTTTGCAACAACGTTCAGGTCGTTTGATGCTTTTCCCTACGCCTATAGGGAAGCATGCGCTTCCTTAGCATTTGTTGGCAGACACAGGCGTCATCGCATGCGCCGATCTTTTCTGTGCACGCGAACCAAGCCAAAAGTGCTCTGGTAGGTGTATTTGAGCATGGGCCACCCGAATATGCAACAACGTTCAGGTCGTTCGATGATTTTCCCTACACCTATAGGGATGCATGCGCTTCCTTAGCATTTGTCGGCAGGCACAGGCGCCGAACTTCTCTGTGCGCTCGAACCAAGCCGAAAGTGCTCTGGTAGGTGAGCATGGGCCACTCGAATATGCAACAACGTTCAAGTCGTTCGATGCTTTTCCCTACGCCTATAGGGATGCATGCACTTCTTTAGCATTTGTCGGCAGACACAGGCGTCATCGCAGGCGCCGAACCTTTTTGTGCGCGCGAACCAAGCTGAAAGTGCTCTGGTAGGT